AAACAACCCACTCAATTCGATTAATTTAAAACACTAAAAACGAACCTGTAACATTCCTGCAGAACATATACGGCGCTGCATCTGATTCTTTGCTGATATCAATCCCATTTCCAGAAAACGTATTAAGTCTACAGACCTTGCCAACTACATAATCGTATCCATAACACGACGTATTTGACACACATTTCTCGAAACAATCCTGGATTTTTTTTACGAAAATGTAGTAAATCTAAACACAGCATATACAAAAAATAATTGTTTAGATTATAAACTGTGACAATAATGCAATTAAGTTTATTTCTAAAAACAACAGATACATTTTAACACATCATTTATAGATTAAAATAAAAGCATATATGATTAGGGGTAATCCATTTCTTATGTCTACACGGACGGTTACAGGGCGATTAGGCTAAAATGTTTGTTTATATACATCTTTATTTACGCTCTTTTATGGACGTCACATGTTAAATTTCCGTGATCGAAGAAACATTTTTCAAAAGTTTCATGGTATTTCAATTTAATTCTTAAACATGTCAAACATATGCAGCATACTTTGAAAAAACTAATTAGGCATCCAATTAAGTCAAATTTAATTTCAGATTGCATTGTTTTCATGTCTTGACCCACTTTCCAATTACGAACCGTATCTGTCAGTTAGAAATTATATTCCAAAAATATTTTGTCTGTCCGTCCGTCCGTCCGTCTGTCTGTCTGTCTGTCTGTCTGTCTGTCTGTCTGTCTGTCTGTCTGTCTGTCTGTCTGTCTGTCTGTCAGTCTGTCTGTCTGTCTGTCTGTCTGTCTGTCTGTCTGTCTGTCTGTCTGTCTGTCTGTCTGTCTGTCTGTCTGTCTGTCTGTCTGTCTGTCTGTCTGTCTGTCTGTCTGTCTGTCTGTCTGTCTGTCTGTCTGTCTGTCTGTCTGTCTGTCTGTCTGTCTGTCTGTCTGTCTGTCTGTCTGTCTGTCTGTCTGTCTGTCTGTCTGTCTGTCTGTCTGTCTGTCTGTCTGTCTGTCTGTCTGTCTGTCTGTCTGTCTGTCTGTCTGTCTGTCTGTCTGTCTGTCTGTCTGTCTGTCTGTCTGTCTGTCTGTCTGTCTGTCTGTCTGTCTGTCTGTCTGTCTGTCTGTCTGTCTGTCTGTCTGTCTGTCTGTATGTTTGAATTTTTGCTCCGGCGTTTCGATCTAGACTGACGACAGACCGACAGAGGAAGTGAGTTAAATAAAAGCTTTTAAAAAACAGTTAGTCTAGGCTCTGATAGATTGTGTAACTAGATTATAAACTGATTATATTAGGTCTACATTAGGTCAAAACCTAAGCTGATAGAATTTGTTTCGTTTTTACAAGCTTTTATTTAACTTGCTTTCTCTCGATGTCATGCTTTTGTCTGTCGTGCTTTAGTATTTCGTGCTTTTGTTTTTCGTGCTTTTGTTTGTCGTGCAATTGTATGTCGTGCTACTGTCTGTAGTGCTATTCTATGTTGTGCTTTTATCTCTTGCCGTGGATCGAATTGGCAAGGGAAAAAGTCGACTTATCATAAGTGGGTAGAAGAGGGGTGGGGGGGGGGGGGGGGGGGTAAATTTATTTTTAAACATTTTACACACATAAAACAACGTGAAATTCAGACCAACTAAATCTAGGACCTAATAGATATTTTTACGAAATTTTTAATTTTTTTAATCAAAGCCAAGGAAGACTTAGATGCAGTCTTTTTTACAAGCTTTTATTTAACTTACTTTATCTGTCTGTCTGTTGATGTCAACAGTCTGTCTGTCTAGATGGAAACGCTCGAGCAAAATTTCGGGCACATCAAACTGGCAGATTCGGTTCAAAGTTGGCACGTGGGTCAAAATATGAAAACAATGCAATCTAACATTAAATTTGACTTAATTGAATAATGCCTGATTATTTTTTATAAATTAATTAAATGTGTATCCAAATTAGTAGGCAGTCTTCTAAACTATTTCGCACTATTATACGCGTGTTATCATGTTCAATAGGTCCGCAATGGTTTTTAGTCAGGCAACAAAATTTTATTTGAAGAGGGGACGTTTCACAGACTGTATTATTGGGTATGGTTATTATATTGTGTTTTACATGAAGTTGCATGAACGTAGAGTACCTGGCTAACGGAAGGACTGTCTGAGCGACTCGTCATGTATTTTTCCATCCTTTTGTGAGATCGCTCATGGATGTAAGGGGAGAAAATGGACCGGATAAAAGGGGAACGCAAGGTGAACGATGGGTGCTTGCATGTGACTGGATAGTAAAATGTAAGATGTCACCACGTCAGTTTGTTCTAGACTATAATGTTATAGTCATTTTTCTACTGTGGAATATTATTATTATTTCTTGGATCTATGTAAATAAAGTTTGAAGTTACAAAGCACTGTTGCTCGTATTCTTGGATGAAGGAACCCACAATAACAACAGTATCATCCTATCAACAATGTTCCTGTTGTTACAGCATACGAAACCCCCAATTTAACTGCTAATCTGCTAATCTACTTCTGAGGTAACAACAACTACTGATCTCAGCCAATCTGGGTAGCATGTTATGTAATTTATGGCCCTCGTTGTCCAGCGGACACATATCGATGCTTTATCCTCAACAATTTCTTACCTACATGACACCCAGCCCCCACTTGTTGCTAGCTCACCATAAAATTTCATCTTTTTGTAGGTGACATGGATTACTGTTCTTAGATCTCATGATGTTTGATGCCCAGCCCCAACATTTTTCTAACAAATCATAAAACACTTAATCTTTTTAGGTAACATAAATTGCTGCTCTTAGATCTCAGCCAACCAGAGATGGCATCTTTTATGTAATTTATTACCCTAAGGGTCCATCAGGAAAAAAAAGTGAAATCTGTACCATGTATTTGCTTCTAAATTTAACTAAACTTAGTCAATTATCAAATACATATTACTGTAATTAGGCACATAGCAGGTTGTCCTACGTAATTTATTAAAGTCTTCTACACCAAAAATATCAACTACTGTTAAACTTTAGTTTAAGTAGCAGATTCTAGATATAAGTAGTATAGTTATACAATCTATTTTAATTTCAGAACATTTCGTTGCCTAAATAAAATTACTAAAATCTAGAGCTAGCTTGTCGATTAAATTTTTTTATTATTAGGCCTATTTTTTTAAATTTATCATTGGTGTATTTTGAATCGAATAAAGGTCTAAATTTTGTAATTAAATTTAATGAATTTTGTAATAAAATCTAATTAAGTATGTTGATTCTAGATTATATGTCTATCAACCTGAGCCAGTCACTCTAAATCTACATCTATTTTCGTTTACAACATGATTAGAATTAGGGCATGATTTTTTATCTAAATAAATTAGCTGACATTGTGTTGGTGTCTTCTTAACCTCTCACTGCAGCCATCAACGACATCGAAGCATGTACCAACAATACTGATGACTTTATAACAGGGTGGGGTGGGACGAGGTAATTTGTATTAAGGAAGCACGTGTTTAATTAAAAAAAAACAATATACATTACGTATCTGCTAGAAATAACCTTAGACCAACAGGCCATATAGATATATTGTATCATACAGCTTAGCGGTCTTTAATAAATGACGTCACGTTAATTAGCAGAATGTTGCCCTCAACCTAAATCACTGTGTAATACATATTAACCGGCAACAACCTTACTAGCATGTGTGCACACACCGGGTACTCAAAAATGATATTTAACAATTTTTGGTTTTCAGCCCAACTACTCCATGTTCAATAAAAATTTTAATAATTTTTATGTCGGATTGCAAGCTGTGTGAAAACTAGTGGGTACAATCGAGACGTACACGGGATCCCTGTGCGATCACTTTTTGATAAAGATCACAATAATTTTAGCACATTCACACGGTCACAGAATAAAAAAATATAATTTTCCAACTTTTAAAAGTCTAAAATATATTTCTCTAGAGATATTCTAGACATTTAAAATATTTTTTGTATATTGACATACAATTTTAAAATTAAACAAATGAAAACGGCTTTTAGTATTTTGTCTCTAGTTTCATTGACGTAAATATCATTGTATATCCTTTTCGGTTCTTTGATTTTTAATTATGTTTGTTACTCTAAAATAAATTAATGACGTCATTCTTTTACGTGTAGCTGGAAAAGTTAACACTTGATAAGTTTCGTTTCATTGGACTCGATTTCGTAAATTCCTTTTTGTTTAATGTGACGTCATTTAAATTACATGTGGTAGTTTTAATTTTCATTATGATGTCTTTAGAGTGATCTAGACAGAGAGACAAACAGAGTGACAGAATAGTGAAACTATTATAAAGAAGAAATGAGCGCCAAAGCAACAGATGCTTTAATTTTTTTTCCAGAATAGGATTGGAAACCATTTTTGAACAGTCTGGAAAAAATAAATTTGAATCTTTAATTTCAACATGAAATATGTTCTACTGTACGGACCCGAGACCCGACGAAATAACAAAAAGAACTCAGACTTGTATAAATAGAGGCCTTATGTGTTTACTAAAATGACAAGGCAATTTAGTAAAAAAAAATATGAGAAATGTGTGGAAACAAAAAAAAGGCAAATCATGAATAGGAAATGGCCATAGGTTGAATACATGCTGTGGAAGGACGGATGGAACAAAAACGCAAACGATGAGGATGATGTTGACTAGAAAACATGCAAAACAACCCTAATTCAACTACCGCTCATTCAGAGGCAAAAAAAAATTTAACTGAGATTATTTTTTTTACACACCGGATAATAAATAGAGCTGGGGAAAATACTGACTCATATTTAGTTGCCTCTAATTTTCCTCATCACAAATAATTATTGATATTTGTGTAAAAAAAATAAACTTAGACTTAACGTGTTTCTTACATACGGATAAACTAGCTAAGCTTTAAGGCTGAAAGTGTCCGTCTTAAAGCGAAACGATTGATGGAAATCATAACGATATTGTTTCAGATATACTAACATAGCATCGAATAGTTTGATTATGCTTAATTAAACTATTAAAAATATTAAAATTGTACATAACTATCAGCTTTCAATGCAGTTGAAATATAAAAGCATTGGTCGCTAAAGTGAGTAAAAGATTTTACAGTGACCAATACATTTATTAATTGATAACAAGTGTTGTGTTTCTTCAGTGCATTTAAAAGCTTATTACTATAACGTTTTTTATAGTTCGTTTTTGTTTTTTCCTTTTAAGAAATACGTTTTTAATGAAATTCAAAACACGTTCTACTAAAAATGTTTGCTTAAAAATCCTATAAATAGCTCGTAACCTCTTAAAAACAGGTTTTCACCTCTCTTGTACCCCGAGGAAACGATCAGCTCACGGTTGTAACAGTAGCGTAGCGAAGGGGGGGGGCGGGGGGGGGGACATATGTCCCCGGGCGCCGACCTTAGGGGGCGCCAAACTAGGTTGGAAAAATAAATTGAAAGGTTGAGGGGGGTGCAAATCGAAAGTTTGAGGACGGGTGCAAATCGAAAGTTTGAGGGGGGGGGGGGGGTGCCGGGAAGGGTCTCTACGCCTCTGGGTTGTAAACAGGCTAATTGAGTAATCACTTTATATTGTATTATTTATATTTTGTATTTGTTATTTAATATCCGTTTTGTCAAGGTCCAAGTTGTCTGTATTGCTTTCTGTGTGCGTCTCTGTAGCGAGTTATTTTTTACTAGCTTTTATTTAACTTGCTTCCTTTGTCGTCAGTCGTCAGTCTGTCTGTCTAGATCGAAACGCCCCAGCGATATTGCAGGCACTTCTAACTTCTAACTGACAGATACGGTTCTTAGTTTATACGTGGGTCTAGACATGAAGACAATGTATCATGACATTCAATTTGACATAATTGGTCGACTGATTAATTTTTTTATGAATAATTTAAAATTTTTACAAAATAAGTGGGCAGTTATATCCAACTACTTCACACGCGTCATCACGTTCAATAGCGCGTCATCACTTTCAATAGGCGCGCAATGGTTTTTAGTCATGTAACTCTATTGTAAATAAAAACATGTAAAGTACTAAAAAAATAACTATAAATAAAAGCGTGGGTATCTTCTTAAATTTTAGTAAAGTTAAATAGATACTAAACTGACCCACGCTTTTCTTTAAAGTTATTTAAATAGAAATGTATAATTTATTTTCTCCTTTTTAGTGCATTATTACATAAAAGCTTATTATTAAAACGCTTTTTTATGAATTTTGTTTTTACGATATACGGTTGCTGACCGTATGTTCAACCCCCAACCTGACAAAATACTCATGCCTCAGATAGATCCTTCGAATACGCTGGACTGAAACCACCAGCAATGAATTACTGTGACAACGGACAAATCAACTGCAAGCTGAAGAAGAGATCCTCCAGACAAAATGGAGATATATTCATCATACATTTACGAAGCCTATACCCAGCATAACAAGACAGGCCCTCACCTGGAATCCACAGGGCAAAATGAAAAGAGGCAGACCAAGGAAGACATATATACGTGACCTTGAAGAACACACAAAGGTGTTTGGATACACGAAGTGACGTCTCTGAAGCTCTTGTCAGGGGCCTATGTCCCAGGAGGGGAGACAGTGTAACCTATTCTAGCCTAATTTACCCTAATTAAATTAAAAAATAGATATTTTTGTATTGTCAACAAAAACGAACATGTCTTTACAGTTAAAACTAAATGTCTGGCGTTGTATGTGGGCAAAATTGAATTACAAGATTAAATGCAACTCATAAACGGACGCTGTGAACTAAATAAAAGCTTCTAGACAGTGTTTGACATTCTACGTACGTGGTATTTGGTATAGGAGATAGACAGTAGTTTGGGTTTAAGAAGGGGGTTAGTTGACAGCAGAATCACCTTTAGTTAGTACAGTATGCTGCAAGTACATTACTGTTCTTGTTTGCTAATGTAAAAATGTTTACTACCTTGTGTGTTGTAGGCGCGTAGTCTAGGTTCCTTCCTTGTGGATAAGCAGTACACGGTCCTTTAATAAGATACAAATCTTACAAACTAAATATATGAAATTTAGACATAATTAAGATAAGCAATTAGACATTGAAAATATAGCTATAACTGAACAACTATAAATTAAAGTTACTAAGCATTATGTCATTTCTAAAATAATTGTGTTGTAGTCTGTGCATTACTATACTACAGTTGTATCACACCATATTTAGAATTGTATTCGTAAAAGGAGGGTTGAGAATACGTCTACAAGTTAATGCTAGGACAGGTACATCTAAGTAAAAATTCAGATATTTATTGATTTGATCTCTAAGGTTAGCTTTTGAAGCCATAAGATAAAAAAGTGTTCAAAATAATTTTAAAAAATAACTCATGTCCACAAGTAACTTACTGTCGCATACGTTTGCGTGGGTTTTGTTTATGTTATAACCAGGATAGCAAGAACATGAGTAGCTTCCGTTCGTGTTAGTACAGATCTGCTCACATGGAGGTGTGCTTGTATTTGTGCAGTCGTCGATGTCTGAGAAAAATGTGTGGATAAACGTATTAGATAAAAAATAACTTCAATAGGCATTACGAATAACTCTGGTATATTTGCTGTTGACGACAACATTGGGAACATCTACTCGTAACGTAGTTCGAAATATGAAACAAACTATATCAGACAAAATATCTAAAATTAAAACAAAGTTAAAAAGAAAAGTATTGTTTATCGTAGTTGGCGGATAAGCACTTGTCTGATTAAACAAGTCTATATTTAACATCTGTCACGACTTAAGAATCAAACGTCCCTGAGTCAATTTAGCTCCCACAGGTACCTGACTCAAGTTATGCAAAGTAAAGGGAGCTGGGCAAAGTGCTGACTACATTGTCCACTAATATGCAGTAGTAAAAAACATGAACATATCACTCGATTGCCTTATGGCTCGTTAGGTCTTAGAAGGGAATTGAACTGTGTGTTGTAAAAAATGCGATTGTATGCTTTATTATATGCAATAAATGAATTACCTTCACACTTTTTAGGGTCTCTGCTACTTGTTTTGTATCCTGATTTGCAGGAACACTCGTAGCTTCCAATTGTGTTGGTACATGTATGCTCACATATTGTTTGATTAGAATCTTTGCACTCATCAACGTCTGAAATAATGATGTTTCTCAAAATATTAAAAAATAAAAGTTTGAACCCAACATAAAAGGACGTATACTTATACATTTGTTTCATTGTAATGTGAAATGCAAAAGATAAAATATTTTTGGATTTTATTTATCTGATTTGAAAAAAAATTAATTTAATTATGTAATATTTCATGAGCTCTAACCTTATTAAAATAATAATTACAGAAACAATTAATACTAGTGTAAACTAATTTTAATAATTTTAGAACCAATTGCGTGTATTGTGATTTTCCAATGTGCATTTTCTATGAGGAAAAAGATAATAATGATACAACGTGTATCGAACATTACATTTTTATTAGTTTCAAATGTCGTTACTTTCAGTTTCTAGAAAATTTCTTTAATTTTGTAAAAATGAAGTATTTGTTCTAATTTTTAATTTAAAAAATGTGTTACTATAAAAAATATATCAGTAAATAAATGATCGTCTTTGAGTAACGGTGTGTATAACATTTAAATAAAAGCTTAAACCTAAATCAACAAGTAATTGTATAATTAGAACATTGTATTTTGCTTTGAATTGCTACAGATATATTATTTTACATTCTATTGAGCTTATTTAAAAAAATCAGATTCATTCTGTAATATTTTATTAATTTGAACCTCTTTAAAAAAATGAAAGAAATTATTAAAGCTAGTTGTCATAGCGTAAATCGATAAATTAAGACTAGACGGGTAGAGACTATTAAGAACGGTGTAAACTTAAAGGTAGACAATTTGGTTCGAGAGTATGTGCGCGTGCTTAATAAAATATTTTTGGCGTGAGTGTGACGTGAGCGTTACGTGACTATGTTACCGATGACGCAGTGGCGTAGCTAGGATCTTTGGGCAGAAGATATCAGTTGGCCCCTTTGTCAGCCGTTAGACTACAACGGAGTAAAACGAAGAAATCAACTGCTACTTCCGATGTAGGGTTTTAAATAATGTAAACATTCTGTACATTTTATACATTCTAACACAGGGGTAGTAGTGCGGCTAACAACATTTTGGCGTAACGCCATGATGAAACATTGTAAAATGTACTGAAAAACTTATGTTGTAACCAGCTAAAATCATAAAGGATAAGTCAGAGAGGGGGGACACCCCACCGAAAATTTAAAGTTGTTGGGGACGATAGTGTGACATCTTTAGTAAACGCGTTAGGAATTACCCGAATTTGTGACGCCACTATCACATTTTTTGAAAACTGCTCATAATTTATTTAGATCTGTCTTTTTCCTCATGCTATAATTTTCAATAATGATTAATAATAAGTTCCTTGAGATCTATTTTAGCGCCTTCTGTATGTTAGATACTTAGGATGGCTACTGGCTCAATGGGCATATCTACAATTTGTTTCATAACAAATTAACAGCATCATAATGAACAAATGATGAAATTAAAAAATTCTATCATAGACACCAAAATCTCCTTTCTGATCACAGTAGAATGTTAAAGTATGTTTTTCTGTAGCAAGCATCCTCATCCGCGTTGCTGCGATCTAGTCTCTCATACCAGTGTAATGAAAGAATTTGTAAGGGTTTCATCAACGCGTTACCAATTGTGAATTTGTAGTCATCTGATCTTGTTTTCTAAAACTGAGATAGTTCAAAGGTAAACAATGACACTGTTATTTTTTTCGGATCTTTGTTGCGGGGGCGCGGGTTGGTCCACACTACCGGTCAGACGCCCTTGCGCGTGCTGTATGAAAGCATTTAGTGTATGTTAATCATTATCCGAAATGTTGAGGTTGAACTCCTTTCAGTGACCGTCTAAGGGTGTCGCTGGAGTGACGTGTTACACTACCATAGGTAGCCGGATGCTACTCCTGGTCGGTTTAATCATCGAACGTAGAGGCCCACCGTGGGGTGTTCCTGTGCTTGGTGTCATCCGTAAGCAGGGGGCGCCGAAGGCCGCCCCGCCCCTGTTGCTGTTTGGTCGTTGAATTAGTAGTACCCCTGCATGATGCGTAATCAACGAATCCCTTGCACTCAGGTAGCCGCTGGCTTTCTCGCGGACGTCCAGGCTTACTTCTGCTGGTGCGCTGGAGGACACCTCTTATTCGATTTATTTACCTATTTTAGTAGCCCTTCGTATACTTAGTGAATGGCGCTCATTAATCGAATATGGGCGCTGTAGAGCTCACGGGGGATCCCAGGGTGATCCGGGTTACGCACTCGCCGAGGCGCCGGCTGATGCACCTGTGCAAATTTGACCGCTGCGCCGGACATTCAAATAAACGGACCCCAGGTGCTAAGATAGCCGCTGGGAAACTGAGTGGCAAACAGCACCACCTTACTGTCGGGGCGCCGCCATAAAAAAAATGTAATGCTAGAAACCTTCCCCAGAGTTTCTTTCAGCACGTTTTCATAAAAAATGTCTGGGAAAAAAAACACTGATTGGAGTATTTTCAACGACTTCCCAAATTTTCTTGGCGATTGGATGAACAGCAACAACTTATAGGGTTAGTAGCGCCATATGGGCCTGTTCGACCTCCACACGCACACACATACACACACTGAATGCCAATGCCTGTACAGTAAGAAAGGACTTAGGGCCTTTTTGGAAATTTGAATTATTTTTACAGTAAAAAAGAAACAGAATTTCCTTTTCTTTTTAAAATTATTTACATAAAACAAATATTAAAATTCCAATATAAAAGTATTAGTTTTTATAAGAGGTAAAAGGGCCCCCGTGTGCCTTACGGTAGCTACGCCACTGCGATGACGTAGGATGCAGGAAAGAAGACAGTTGGGGGTTAGCCATTGTAGGAAAAAGACGTGTTTTGATGTTGTATAGTATTAGTGTTTAATAATAAAGTTAATTCTATTTCATAATAGAAGTTGTTAATATTGTTAATTAATGTCGTTGGAAAATAAGAGTGTTCCTGTCCTCATCACTTGTGTATAGTTAAAGAGTTAGCTATAGGGGTAAGTCATCATTTGGTTTTATAGAGCAGAACATGTCTGTATATATTTTCCGCCTATCACACTAGTGTATACTAATAATACTAAATTTGAAACAATCGCGTGTAATATGATTTTCCACTGTTCATTATCTATAAGGGGAAAAATAATATTAAAACCGTGTTTCGAACCCTAAATATCTATTTGTTTCAAGTGACATTACTTACAGTTCCTGTAAAAGTTTTTAAATTTTGTGAAAGAAAAAAATTGTTCTGAACATTTTATAAAAACTTGTTTTTCTACAAACGAATATCGCATAAAGTAAATGATCATCTTAGAAAGAATGTGTGTATAAGATGTAATAAATTATAAAAAAAAATTATATTTTTTACATAAATACGTATTTAACATGGGTTATACATAGTGCAGATACTACATTTTAAGAAAAAAGGGGTAAAAATTTAAACCAATCGTTACTTTTTTGAAATATAAATAATAAAAGTAATATATACATTTTTATAGATGTTTATTATAAAAGTTTATTATATTTGTTTAAACAATAAATCCAATACCTTGACATATGTTAGGATTTATGAGGTTTACTTTGTATCCTGATTTGCAAGAACACTCGTAGCTTCCAATTGAGTTGGTACAGGTATGCTCACATACTGTTTGATTGGAATCTTTGCACTCATCAATGTCTGAAATAAAGATGTTTCTTAAAATATTGAAATAAAAGCTTGGAACCAACACCAAAAGAACTTATGCAATTACATTCGTTACATTGTGTTTTAAATGCAAAAGATTAAATATTTTTTAATTTTATTTAGTCTCTTTTATTTATTTTTTTTAAATATTAATTTAATTATGAAACTTTTTATGAGCTGTAACCTCATTAAAATAATAAATACAGAAATTTTTAAAGAAAATGTTCACTAATTATAATAATTTTAGAACCATTCGCGTGTATTGTAATTTTCCACTGTGCATTTTCTATGAGGAAAAAAACAAACAAATTTTAATGATACAATTCGAATGGAACCTTACATTTCTATATGTTTCAAATGACGTCGCTTTTAGTTCTTAGAAAAATTCTTAAATTTGGTAAAATTAAGTATTTGTTCCATTTTTTTTTAAATAACAAAAAGTGTTTCTATTAAAATTATATAAGCAAGTCAATTGTCGTCTACGAGTAACGGTGTTTATAACATTTAAATAAAAGCTTAAACCAAAACCCAAAAGTACTTGTATAATAACATTATACTTTTCGTTGAAAAGCTATAGATAACATATTTTACGTTCTATTGAGCTCAATTTTTTTTTAAAATTATATTAATTCTGTAATATTTTACAATTTTGAACTTCTTTAGAAAAAAGAAAAAAAATATTAACGCTATTGTAAACTAATAAAGTTTATTTTGAAACAATCACGTGCAATTTGATTTTCCACTGTTCATTTTCTATATGGAAAAAAATTATATTAAAACTATGTGTTTCGAACCCTAGACACTTATTTATTTCAAGTGACATTATTTACAGTTTCTGTAAAAGTTCTAACATTTTGTGAAAGAAAAATGTGCTCTGCATCTTTAAAAAAACTATATTTCTACAAACGAATATACCATAAAGAAATGATCGTCTTTGACTGAATGAGTGTATACGATTTTTTAAAAAGATCATTTTTTACATAAATAAGTATTTTAAAGGGTTACACATATTGCAGATGCTACAATTAAAAAAAAATAGTGCTAAACATTTAAACCAATTGTTACATTTTTAAAATATCAATAATTAAGGTAATATAAAATTTTGAATGTAGATGTTTATTATAAAAGTTTATTATACTGGTTTATACAATAAATCCATTACCCTGACACATGTTAGGATTTATGCTGTTTGCTTTGTATCCTGATTTGCAAGAACACTCATAGCTTCCAATTGTGTTGGTACATGTATGCTCACATATTGTTTGATTAGAAACGTTGCACTCATCAATGTCTGAAATAAAGATGTTTCTCGGAATATTAAAATAAAAGCTTGAACCAAAGACAAAAAAAAAACTATGCAATCTCAACGTTATATTTTGCTGTCAAATGCTATAAATAACATATTTTATGTTTTATTTAGCTGATTAGAAAACCAAAAAAAAAACAAATTTTATTCTGTAAAATTTTATTATTTCGAACCAGAATAAAGCTAATGAAAAAATAATAATAATAATTTAATAACCAAACGCGTGTGTTGTGAATTTCCAAAAGCATTTTCTATGAGATAAAAAAATATATTAAAATGGGAACGTTGTGTTTTGAATCCTTTCTTACTATTTGTTTCAAGTGACGTGATGTTTAGTTCATGTAAAAGTGCTTACATTGTGTGAAAAAAAGCATTTTCTCTAAACGTTTGTAAATAAAAATGTCTTTCTACCAATGAATATATTACTAAATTAATAATTATCTTTAAATAAATGTGTGTATTACATAAATGGAAAAAAGATGTTTTACATAAATACGTAATTTATTGTAATATTTATAGTTAAAGTTTCATTAAAAAAAAATAAGTCTTTACATTTTGAACAAATTAATGCTTTTTATATATTACTAAAAAAGGAAATATAGAAATTTTAATAATTTGTTTTGTAAAAGTGCGAAAAACGCATTTAAACAAAAAAAAAACATTACCTTGGCACATATTAGGATTTGTGCTGTTTACTTTGTACCCAGAATTGCAGGAACACTCGTAACTTCCATAAGTGTTAATACATGTATGATCACAAACTGTTTGATTGCCATCTTTGCACTCATCAATGTCTGAAATAAAGATGTTTCTTAAAATATTGAAATAAAAGCTTGGAACCAACACCAAAAGGACTTATGCAATTACATTCGTTACATTGTGTTGTGAAATGCAAAAAATTAAATGTTTTTTTTTTGTTTTATTTAGTCTATTTGTTTTTTTTTAAATATTAATTTAATTATGAAATATTTTATGAGCTGTAACCTCATTAAAATAATAAAAACAGAAATTATTAATGACAATGTTAACTTATATTAATAATTTTAGAACCGTTCGGGTGTATTGTATTTTCCACTGTGCATTTTCTATGAGTAACAAAAATTATAATCATACGATACGTATGGAACCTTACATTGCTATATGTTTCAAATGACGTCACTTTTAGTTCTTAAAAAAATTCTTTAATTTTGTGAAAATAAAGTATTTGTTCTAGTTTTTTATAAATAAAAAGTGTTTCTAGTAAAATCATACCAGCAAGTTAATTGTCGTCTACGAGTAGCGGTGTCTAAAACATTTAAAAAAAGCTTTTACCAAAACCAAAAAGTACTTGTATAATAACAACATTTTACTTTGCTTTGAAGTGTTATAGATAAAATATATTACGTTCTATTAAGCTCATTTTTTAAAAAAATCTGATTAATTCTTAAACATTTTACAATTTTGAACCTCTTTAGAAAAAAAAAATTATTAAAGCTATTGTAAACTAATAATTTTTTTTTTGAATCAATCAAGTGCAATGTGATTTCCCACTGTTCGTTTTCTATATGGGAAAAAATTATATTAAAACGATGTGTTTAGCACCCTAGACACTTATTTGTTTCAAGTGACGTTACTTTTAGTTCCTGTAAAAATTCTAACATTTTGTGAAAGAAAAATTTGTTCTGAATCTTTAAAACAAAATTCTTTACAAACGAATATATCATAAAGAAATGAACGTCTTTGACTAAATGTGTGTATACGATTTTCTCAAAAAGATTATATTTTACATAAATACGTATTTTAAAGGGTTAAACATAGTGAAGGTGCTACAATTTTAAAAAATACTGCTAAAAATTTAAAATAATCTTTACATTTTAAAATATCTATAATCAAGGTAATATAAAATTGTAATGTAGATGTTTATTATAAAAGTTTATTAATCTTGTTTATACAATAAATCCATTACCTTGACATATGTTAGGATTTATTCTGTTTGCTTTGTATCCTGAATTGCAGGAACACTCGTAGCTTCCAATTGTGTTGGTACATGTATGCTCACATATTGTTTGATTAGAATCTTTGCACTCATCTTTGTCTGAAATAGTTATGTTTCTCGAAATGTTAAAATAAACGCTTGATCCAAAAAAAATCAAAAGTTCTTTTGCAATTACAACGTTATGTTTTGTTTTGACATGTCAGAGATTAAATATTTTAAATGTTTATAAATTAAGATAAATTTTCAAAAATTACGATTGCATATCAGTGTTAAACAGGTAGTTTGTATGTTTACATTTAAAAGAGAGAAAAAATAAAACACATTAAGATCGATTATGATGGATTCATATATAGCAGATAACAACCTAAGTGTGAGTTAGGGGGTAGGATGTACAAAAAGTTTAAATATAGAAAAAACAGCAAAACGTCCTATTCCCGGGAATTTTACATGGCAAAGTGAGAAGTAATAATCTTCTTTTTGTCGCTCGTTAAAATTTGATGATCAGCTAAAATTACCTAACTATTGACAATACTAGACTACCCAGTTATTCTTGAGTAACACTGTTTTAAGGGTCATCCATAGAATACGTCATGTTTACTTGATATTTTTTAACTTTTCCCTCCCCTCAGTACTATCACTTATTATCACAAAAAACCAGACTCACATTCAAAGAGACGTCACACCTCAGACATGTTTTTGTCTTTTAAACACAGATTTCGGATGAGCATTGGTCTAACCACACTATCCCTTCATATGTTGACGTCACAGGTTGATTTTACACCTGCCTAACTCTAATTCACCTGCCCAGTTTCCCGCCAAATCGCAGGCATCATGATTTTTTCATTTAAAAACACATATTTCGGCTTAGCATGGGTCTGAACACAGAAACAGGAGAACTCTACTTCACCTACCCTGTACCCCCTTTCAAGTGCCAATAGGTAACTTTAGCATTCACATGTAAAAACAATTGAAATTTTTTTTTGACAATTTGTGTCTTGAACAATTACCTCCCGCATTGTAACTATTACAATATCATCTTAGCTATAGGGGAAGTTCTGATTATAAGCAAAATAAGTGGTATAGTTACTTAGAGAGCCCGTGTAAGATAGTTAAGTTACTCGAATGGGCACTAGTATTATTTCAAATTAAATTTAAATACCAAATTAGCCAATTCCATAGCTAAAAAAACAAAAATAAAATAAAATAATTAAAGTCTGAAATTGTTTAGTATAAAAACTCATTATTGGCATAGATTTTAGACCTAAATAGAGCGAGAGATCGAGATCTACATCTAGATTTAGAATCTACGACTGGCTTAAGTCTAGTTTTTCAGTAGCTCTAGATCTAGAATCTAGATACATAAATCCCTTGTATTCTTGAACTAGATGATCATTGAAGCTAAAAAGCAAGAATGTATATCAAATATTTAAGGACTAAATTAGTTTAATAAAAAAATTCAATAGTTTTTCGTGTTTTTATACTGACGTGTTTTTATGCTAATTGTTTTTATTTTAAAATAATTAAATTTGGTTTGACCTAAACTCTAGATACATAACTTTTTCTTCCTGCAACAGTTTATCTGTAGATCTAGAACAAATTATTGTATACTCAAATTTGAAGAACTGTTGAAAATTGATAATAGTGTTTGGGCCTAAAAAAAAACGTTACATCTATAGCCGATAGAAAATTTAGATTTGTAATGCGTTAAACTTTTGATTGGGCAACATGGAAGCCGCCACGATTGTGGTAAAAAATAAATGAATCATTTGACGTCGCTATAACAAAAGTCATTATTCTGAACTTTTATAATTAAAGTGGTGTTTCTACCAATAAATATATTAATAAACTATTTAACGTCTTTATATGAATTTTTAATTAACAGTTTGGTAAAAATGAACAATATTCTATACCTAATTACGTAATTTACCTCTCTACACATAGTGCAGATTCTCTCTTGTAACCAAACAGACAAACAAATAAAAAATAGATACATAAATAAACAAATATACAAACTTGTAAACAAACTTCCGTTTTATTAGTATATACTTTGTACCTGTGCAACAACTGAAATCTGGAAGATTTTATGTGTTTTATATAATTTATTTGCGACTATTGAAAACTTACAAAACCCAAATAATTGTCAACGCTATTAACATTGATCGTACATGAAACTTGACAAAGTGGCATACTAATATATTAAAGATTGAAGGTAGGATCACACGGAAAACAAGCCTTTACTTAAAAAAAAAAAGAAAATATAAAACAATGGCGTATTGGCAGCCGATAATATGATACAAAAAATATTACACGCGTCCAATACAGTGGCGGAACTACAGTGCCGCCAGACCCCGCAAGTCGGGTTGGGGGGCAGGCCATTTAGGGAGCCACAGCTGACCATTATTAATATTTTTTTTTTAAATTTGGATGTAATATTCGGGCATTTTTGCTTTGACTTTTGGTTTGTAAAAAAATACTGTAGCTGCGGTACGATTATTTTTTAATTTTACAGTCACTATACCACGCAATTCTACAAACATTTAAATCCATTACACAAACTGTATTGTAAAATATGGGCACAACTTCAAATTTTAATTGCTTTTGTGACTAGTTGCTCGCCTTTGATAGCCACACAGACTCGTAGCTGTTCGAACGAAGTAGTATATCAGGTCACATTTGATTAGTATTTTTGGCGGAGCAGGAGCAGGCACAGGTACAATATATAGTAAAATACACCAGGTGGTGGAGGGTGAGGCGCAGGCGCAGGTACATAGACATAACGTAAAATACTCTTCGCCCAGCCTGGGTGAGGGAGTGCTGGGGGAGGGTGAGGGTTAGACGTTTTATATAGTAAAATACTCCAATGGGGTGGTGTTGTGATGATGGTGGCCTTTTAGTAAGATTTTATTTATTTTGCTCTCGTTCACGCTTGGTGATTTTACTCCAAAGTTTTTTTTTATTCTAAGTTTTTCGGTCAGAGCTATCCATCTGTCAGCCAAATATCGTAAAGTTCAAGGTAGACCGATAAACAAAACGCAACAACGTGTAATATAATTGGACTTATTGAGCATACGTCGTATCAATTTTAACGTTAGCAACTGCCTCGGAGAGTTTAACAAACTGCACTTAGGGGCTAAAAACAACCACAATGTCAATTACATACACACTAAATTAGTACACTAAAGGAAACTAGAAGGAAGAGGAATATATATCTTAGTCTTACGGCAGATTACCTTGCCATGTTTGCTTTAGTATTAGAGTTTTCATCATCGACTTATTAGGACTAAGACAGATTAATAACAGTGATACTTCTTTTTTTTTTACTTGAACTTCTTTAATTTTAGAAGGCTTACTTATACATAATACAATACGTCTAATTACGATTTTATTTTTACAACTCAATTTATTTTGGTTTTTCTATATCTAGCATTGTCATCTTAATTTTTGACCAGCTTAGTAAAATTTGCTTTAGATTATAAACTACAAGATTAAAAAAACGTTATAGTAGTTCGTGTCAAATGAGACAGTGTTTAAAATGTCTACATTTAAATACACAAAGAAAACTTATTTATTGTACACTATTGTCAGAAAATACTGTAGATAAGGTTTTTTTTTATTAAAAATCTAAAATAGTACTACCCTATTTTTAAAATTAAACAACAAATTAAAAACAAACAACTAAACAAACAAATTAAAGCAAACAAATTAAATTAAAAAATAAAATGTTAAATTTTTAAAAATTAAAATAAATAATTTAAATTTAAAAATTAAAAATTAAAAATTTAAACTTAAAAATTTAATAAAATTTAAAATAAATAAACATTTAAAATTAAAAAACTTAAAAAAAAATAATTTAAACATTAAATTTTGGAATTTAAAGAAATTAAATTTTAAAAATTTAAAATTTAATTAAAAAAAAATTAAAATTAAAAAGTAAAAATAAAAATATAAAAATTATGATGTCAGTCTTTTTAAAATTAAACAAACTAATTAAAAACAAACTTATTAAAATTAAACTAATTAAAAACAACAAACAAAGAAAAAACTAATTAAAAACCAAAGAAAAAAATTAAATCGATAGACTTGTAATGAGATTCAAGCAACAGATGGCCTGGCGTATTTTACTATATAACATGTCTCCACCACCACCATCACCACCGCCTGCGCCTGCCCCGCCAAAAATACTAATTAAATGTGACCTGATATACTACTGACCGATCCTTCAATGTGTTCTCTGGCGGATGAGACAAAGGGTGGGGACCAAATAAAGGGCTCAAAAATTGTCGTCAAATGAATTTATATATTTTAAAATAGCTATTTATTATAGTATTTTTTTATCCATCGACATGGCCGAGTTCTATTTCACCAACAACTAAACACACCCTGTCGCCCACGAAATCTAGTACACAAATCAGCTGGCCCCATACAGTTTTTTAATTGAGAAGCGCGGACAATCTAAATCTAGCCCATCACACCAAACTGATGCCGATTTTTTTATGAGACCTTCATTAAAACGTCGTCAATCGTGTATTTTATTGTAATGGTTTAATGATTTTTTTTCATGAAAGCCTAATGCAATCGAACGCCTAATTTATAAAGGAAAAGTAAACAACTCAAGGAGTTAAAAAGCTGCAAAAAAACAACAACAATTGCTTGATTAATGTCTTTAGCTTAAAATTTGAAAGAATTTTATTGATATGAGGGCTTGAAATAATTAAAATATTAAATTATTAAATAATTAAATAATTAAATAATTAAATAAGTAAACAAAGACCTTTATTAGTGACACTTTCTTTTTTCTAGAGTTATATATGCAAGAGCCTTTTTTCTGTAAGTCGAATCGGCGGCAGGTAATACGATCTATATAACGCACCATATTTAAGCTAGACATATTATATAGCAAAGTAGAAATTTTCGAAGGCCCTTTGATTAGAACTTGGAATAGTTGCATACAAGCTGTTATTCTTGAAGCACCGAGACATTTTACTTACATTCTCTCTCTCCTCTTAAACGTCTTCCCTCAAAGTAATATTTATAAGGTAAACTCTCTATAATCATTGTAGAAAAAAACCGTGAACTAAATAATTGATTTGGTTATATTTTAAAATAACTTAAGTTTAGCAATATTTTCTGGCATAGTGTTAATAAAAACTCAAACTGAATACATGAAGTCCGTATAACTTTATGATATAAACAATCTTTGTTTTCTATTTGCTGATGACATTCATATTGTTTAATTGTAATCTTTGCTTTCATCAATGTCTGAAACTGTGATGTTTCTCAAAGTTTAAAACTTAGTTTTTAAATCTAAAAGACTTACTCGGTTATAATTTTTTTCTCACGTAGCATGTAGGAGATAAGCAGTTCTTTTATTAAAAGGCTGTTACTTTATTGCCTATTAAAGAAACTATCATCGACAAAAACAAACAAAAATAATTATCATTAAAAAAGTTTTAAAAAACCCACGTTTTCTGATTGAACTAAAAAGTATAAAATAAATGCTATACATCACAATAATGCAAGCGATCAGTCTACTATAAGCGATGAAAAACGTGGGGCGCCGAAGTAAAAGTTATATTACTATTGATTAGATAATACTATTGACTTTTATTAGGGAGCTTGTAGAGAGTCAACAGTATTAGAAACTGTAAGAAAATCACAGCGCCCCACGTTTTTTCATCGCTTATAGTAGAGTGATCGCTTGCATTATTGTGATGTATAGCATTTATTTTCTACTTTTTAGTTCAATCAGAAAACGTGGGTTTTTTAAAACTTTTTTAATGATAATTATTTTCTACTTTTTAGTCTTTGTCTGTTTGTTTGCATTAAAATCTTGCTATCGATTTTATCTTTTCGCATTCACTTTTTTTTGGGTAAACGAAGACAACTCGTAAAAAACACGTGCCTTGAACCCGTGTCGAGTGGGTTAGCAATCGTGTGCCCAACCACTCGACCATATCGTCTCCCCCATACTGGCCACCAGTTGTTACGTTCTGGTTGTTTGTACAAAAACACCGCGTGACAACTACTCAGTAAGCATAAAGAGGGAGAGTACCGAACCTTGTTTTCATCAAATTACCATTACTGGGTTATGTCCCTTTTCCCCCACGTTTTTTGTACAATTATATAGCGGTCTAAAATGATCAATAAAATGTTTCCATGGATCAATTTAGTAATAATAACAATTGAATACTCTATTGTCGTTGGAAACAAAGCTTCCCTGAAAATTTCAGCGCACTAGCTAACTGGGAAGTGCCCGAAATTTTGATCGGAAGATTTGATTGGAAAGACGCGAAAGCAAGTTAAAGAAAACGTGGGAAAAACTCCACGAGAAAGCCTTTAACACAGCCATATCAAAGTCTATTGACAGCCTTGAAGTCAAAGATTATGTACACTATACTATAGAATAGAACTAAAAAACAACATTACCTTGACACTTGTTTGGGTTTTTGCTGCTGACAACATATCCAGGTTTACAAGAGCAAACACGACGTCCATTGCTATAAGTTGTTATTTGCTCACAGCGACAGCTGGCTAAAGAACACAATAGTGACGTCAATGTTGTATTGGGTAAAATATTTGTTGTCTACGACTGTTAATCTAAAGTCATTTGTTTAGTGCACTTTGCCTCAAGTGCTTTTACACTAAGTCATTTTATTTAGAAACACGGATGGTCGGATAAATGTAAAATGGTAGTGTCAGTGTGGCTCATATATTACAGGCAAGGTAGAAAAGGATATGTATGGATGAATTGCATAACCTTAATTTTGTTATTCTTATCGTTGTTTTGCTTCATATCAAATATGCGCATTTCCTTTTTATTAAATTTGTTTATTTGAAACATAATTGCTTTGTTCTATTACATTTAGTATCAACCATGAATTGAAATGACACAACTGACAAAATAACATTAACACAAAGCCCAATAAATGTTTCTAAATTCTCTGAATAGAAATCGATTGTCTTAAATATATCTTTTTACAACTGGTTGTATTATTTTTTGTTTATCTAATAATATGAAAATTAAAATACTGTAAACAGAAAACATACCCTGAGAATATAGTGGGCACAAGAGCAGTAACTCTGCAAGGATTATTATGAAATATTGGACCTTCATTTTGGCACAAAATTATTGGCGATTTTATTCTGTCAACAAAAAAAAATATGAATTTTTTTAACAAAAGTTAAAAGTTAATTAAAAGCATAAACACGTCTTAATAACAAGCTTTATATGTAATAATGCAATAAAAAGGAGAAAAAAAAGTTGATTTTCTTTATAAAACAACTAAAAACAAGTGCACTAAAAATATTTACAGTAACAAGCTTTGAAATGCACTGGAAAAAAAGAAAAGAAATCTAAATTGCTTTCTTTCATAAAAGCTATGGTCGCCAATATAAATGAAAGCTTTGAAATTTTAAATACAATATAAATGCATGACCATATCAATGGTCTTGTAGCAAACTAGAAACAATTCATTTTTCTGTTCAACAGCCAGTACGATTCTGCGTATTGCATGAATATATTGTAGAAATCCGGATAATGATTATTGGTATATAATCATTTGAACATACCGGCTTTCATTTCTAGCGCTAAAAATCTAATATCTAATATTATGTAGTACCCCGTAGCGTAAAATACCTTTGATTTTGTATCACTTTTATGAAAAAACAAACTTACAAATTATGCCTGTAACAATTAAGTAACCTAACACAGTAGCTTCACGAAGCGGGGGCCTCACAATTTAGGCGTGACACCATTACGAAAACTCGTAAAATTTACTGTCAAGATTGTTTTATCCAATTAAAATAATACAATATTGAGTAGACGGGGTAACACTCCACTGGAAATGCAAAATTATCAGACGGTGTGGGAGTGACACTCACTAAACACACCGGATGATATCGAACCTTGTGACGCCACTAACAAAATACACATGTTTAAATGCTGCTCATGATTTATTTTGGTTTGCTGTTTTCTTTCTTATAAGTTTGCAAAGTGATTAATATGTTCCTTGAAGTCCATTATACTTAGGATGGCCAAGTTACTGACCCAAAGGGCAAATCTACAACTTGTTTCCTAGCATTAAAATAATGGAGAGACTTGGGGCGACGCGGCAGGAGGACACCCCTTATTTTCTTTAGCCATTGATTATAGTAGCCCTCCGTATTCCTAGGGCATGGCATCTTTAAAACAAGTGTATGTGCCGTAGTGCTCACGGGGTGGGGGGAGCCCGGGACGCCGGCTGATGCATCTGTGCAGTTTGATTAATAAATTAAGCAGTAACCCTGACCCTTTGTGCAGGACACCCAATTCACTCACCCCAGGTGCTAAGAAAACCACTGGGAAACACTTGGTGGCAAACCGAACCGCATTACTGTCAAGGGGCCGCTCTCCGAACGAATTTTTAAAAAAAATATTTATTGGCAGAAAGCGTTGCAAGCGTCAGAGTTTCTGTCTGGCTTCTCTTCGAGAGGGAGGCACTGCTTCTCATTTGTGTGGTTGTGGTAGGAAATTTCACGGTCAGTAGAGATTTGTCTGAATTATTCTGAACGACTTCCCAATGTTTCTTGGCGATTATATCATTTTTGTATTAATGCATAAAGGACAAGGAGACAGACAAACGAAAATCTTTAGGTAGCGGCATATTAATTAGAGATAAATTAGATCAACAAACAAATTGTAATGAAGGCTAAAAATAGAAAAAAAAAGTTTTCTACTTAGCTTGTTGTGAAAACACTGTCCTCGGCTGTTATTTTTTTTAAAACAATGGCTTAATTGTAATCATGGATGGATGGGATTTTGGTGAGGACAGAGAATTGAGAGGGGCCTTGTGGCGGTGGGGTAGAGAGTTTTTAGCGATGCGTATACATTTGCGGGTGCCTGATGCCAAGCTCACAAAAGCGTCAATGTTCAAGTTTATTTATAGGTTAATTCTCTCAACGGCGAGCCCCAAATTGCAGCAATGCCTATAGTGTTATTAATACCGATAGGCCTTGTACAAGCCCCCCCCCCCCTCTTCCCACCAAGTAAGAAAGGTTTGGTGGCCTTTTTGGTTTTTTTGTATTACTTCTACGGTACAAAAGAAATTGGCTTTCCGTTTTCTTTGCAAAATTATTTTTAAAATTCAAATATTAAAAAATTAAAGAGGGAAAAGGGCCCCTGTTTGCCTTGGGCCACTATGCCTTGCTTACGCTAGCTTTACTTTAGCTACGCCACTGGTTGGTTTTCGTGTTAAGAAATAATTCTTTATTTGGTATGGTAGGTTACAAAATGTTTGGCCTAAATATTAAACGACAAACTTAGACTACTTTGAATATAAATTAAAATGTAAAACGGTAGCCTATCTAATATTGAGATGACTATTCGGTTTAAAAAATATAGCAAGCCTGCTGCAATGGATTAAAATGCACAAGCGATTAGTATTACATGTTTCGATTTTAGATCAAACGTGAAATTATTGAATCACATGATCTGAAATTATATTTACAGATGCTACTATACAGTAGATGGAGAAGGTTACTTAAACTAAGTTAAAATGCAAAAAAAAATTAAGTAATCAGCCAAAAATACGTTAAAGAAAACTAAATTAAAAAAAAAACAATGTTATTACAAATTGAAGTAATCGTAATAAAATATTCTTCATTAAAAAAATAAAACGGTGAACAATGAAACTAGGCAGAGGCCATTATCTGATATTAGTGTCTGCATAAAAAAATGTACGAACGTTAAAATTCAAAAAGCCTGGCACGGAGAATGCTGTAGAATCTTAAACATACATAATTACTAAAACTATGGATGGATGTAGTTAATAAAAAGTATAAAATTACACACAGAACCAACACATTTAAACAAATACAGACTCACATGAGACAATAGGTTGAACTGTTCAAAACATTCAAGCAGATCTTGGAGCTCCGCGTGTGGCATTTTTTATAAGGTCGGTGATAAATCTGTAGCCAATCAGAAGACAAAAATGCAACAAGAAAAACATAGGCGACGCCACAGTTTTTAGCAACTTAAAATATATTTTCTAAGATGCATATAATTTTTTTCCAAAATAGTGAACAGCAATACATTAATCGAGTTTTTGCTAACGAAAAAACAAACACTTTAATGAATAACTAAAAAAAAAAGACTCCATTGCATAAATGAAAAACAAAGACTCCATGCACTAACTAAAGAATAGACACTCCACCCAATAACTAAAAAAGCGCTAGTGATCTCATCTAAACATACAAGAACATTTTTAGAAAACACTAATGGGGAAGACAATTTCAGTGCAGTCGGGATATTCACATTTCAAGAAATGGTGCGCAGCAAATAATCTATGTATAATAATTCGGAACATAAGAATATTATTATAAAGAAAGACAGAGAAATAAAGGTAAAAATAAATTCATGTACATGTTATTGAGAAATAAAAAATTGGGTAAAGTAATACAGAAAATTAGATGTTCTTAATATATGTTAAATATCTTATATCTAAGTTAAATACTACGTAAATTATAGGCTTTTGATAAATCGAAAGTAGAGTAAGTCCAACTTCCGGTTACCAAAAATCGCTTAAAAGCTGCTACAGAACTACAAATTTGATATGATACGTATATAATAAATTTCGTCAACCAAAGTTTTTACGTTATTCAAGCTATCGTATTCACAGGCAGAGAGATACAAAGACAAACAAAAAAAACACACAGACATAAGGCAAAATGGCAAAATTAAGTTTTTTCGACTCAGGGAACTGAATTATTTTTAAAAATTTGTTTGGAAGATTGCAATACGTCATCTATACTCCGTATATGTGATAGTAAAAATATAAACTACGTTGAAAAACTAAAAAAAATAAAACGCCTATGTTAGCTGGGACAGTTAATGACACGGATTATCGACAGGTGTCCGCCTCTCTCTTTCTGTCTAGTGACGTCTTATCCTTTCTGATTGATCTCCTAACGGAAAGGTTTTCTTTGTTAATTCAACTGCCGCTGCAAGAAAAATATATTTAGTGCAATGGTTCCCAAAGTGGGCATAACGCCCCACCAGGGTCGATAAGACGGTCGTGGAGTCGATTGAATCATTTGATGCAGTAAACGGTCGTTTGTAAAAATATTCGTTCGATGAAAAAAAAATGTATAAGTGTATAAAATAGGTGGTAAGTTTTCAGCTCTCAGCAAAGTCTGAAAGAATAATCCGCATTTTTCACATATTGTCAAATATGACATGCAAAAATAATTAACATACCATAAGAAATTAATAATAATTAGTAATTCGCGACTAGGGTTCAGGGTGGCTGATAATAAGAGCAACACTAACCTATATTGTTCAGGCTTGCTGTTAATAAGAGCCACAATCTGGACAAAAACGACCGGGCTTGCGGGTCGGCTTATATATATAAAATTTTGTGGAAATAAGTGGAACAGGGCTCAATGTATGGTCTTCACGTGAAAATTAAATAAAATACAACTTCCGTTCAGGCAGAATTCGATAGGGAAAATGTAATAAATATATGTGAATTTTCGTCCACATAGCTTTAAAGGTACTTAAGGTAATGGATTTTCAGAAATCGGAAGTAGAGTCTTTACCACGTCAGGTTACCGGAAATTTCTTCAAAAGTTAATGAAAATGTTAAATAATACCTAAATATAAAATTTCGTCGTACTCAAATTATCGACATAAAAACAGCCATATCGACAGGCTTGCAAAACTAAAATTTTCCGACCTAGGATTTTTCAAAATCTCTATTTCGATTATTTGTCCATTACTTTACTACCTCTATACTTTGTAAAATAGATAGTTAAAGTTATAGTCAGTGAGCCTATACATTTTTTTCCTTTTTTTGAGAATACTTGCGGAAGGGGGGGGGGGAGGTTGTTGAGGTTGTTTTGTTATTACTACTACATATGTTACAAAATGTGCCCACAGTATTGACTAGCCTCTGTCTGCATTCTGTATTTTATTATACATTAACGAGTTAGCATTGTTCTAAAGTCATGGCTGTTTATGATGTTTAAAGTGGTAGTAACAGATAAGTGAGCGGTGTGTCGTGTCGAACGTGCAGCGGTGCATGCAATGCAACTCAACTTGATTGCAATGCAATGCAATGCAGTACTGTGCAGTGTAATGCAATGCAATGCAGTGCAATGCAATGCAATGTAATGCAATGCAATACAGTGCAATGAAATACAATGCAATGCAATGCAATGCAATGCAATACACTGCAATGCAATACACTGCAATGCAATACACTGCAATGCAATACACTGCAATGCAACGCAATGCATTAAATCCAATTAAATTCAATTAAATCCTATTCAATCCAATCGAATGCAATCTAATGCAATCTAAATTAATCTAATCTAATACAATTAAATCCAAAACAAACTAATCCAATCAAATCCAATCAAATCCAATCAAATCCAATCAAATCCAATCCAATCCAATCCAATCCAATCCCATCCCATACCATCCAATCCAATCCCATCCCAACCCATGTCATGTCATGTCATGTCATGTCATGTCATGTCATGTCATGTCATGTCATGTCATGTCATGTCATGTCATGTCATGTCATGTCATGTCATGTCATGTCATATCATATCATGTCATGTCATGTCATGTCATGTCATGTCATGTCATGTCATGTCATGTCATGTCATGTCATGTCATGTCATGTCATGTCATGTCATGTCAAGTCATGTCATGTCATGTCATGTCATGTCATGTCATGTCGTGTCGTGTCGTGTCGTGTCGTGTCGTGGCGTGGCGTGGCGTGGCGTGTCGTGTCAAATCATGTCGTGTCAAATCATGTCGTGTCGTGTCGTGTCATGTCATGTCATGTCATGTCTTGTCTTGTCATGTCATGTCATGTCATGTCATGTCATGTCATGTCATGTCATGTCATGTCATGTCATGTCATGTCATCGTATGTCAAGGAAATAGCACTTTACAATATGTACGATTATACAAACAAGTCAAAAATGTTTTAATACAAAAATACGTGTCATCCACTTACATTGTTATAATAATATACAAACAAGCTTATGAACGATCTCTACCGCTCTTTTTTTTATATTGAGATAAAAGACATGTCACCATGACATTGCTATGATTTACAATACTTTGTGTAAAGCAGATTGGGGCTTGAATGCCTTTCAGCAACAATCTAGAACAATCTAGATAATCCAGACGTACGTGTTTGACGTACACGTACACGTACACGTACACATACACGTACACGTACACGTACACGTACACGTACACGTACACGTACACGTACACGTACACGTACACGTACACGTACACGTACACGTACACGTACACGTACACGTACACGTACACGTACACGTACACGTACACGTACACGTACACGTACACGTACACGTACACGTACACGTACACGTACACGTACACGTACACTTACACTTACACGTACACGTACACGTACACGCACACGCACACGCACACGCACACGCACACGCACACGCACACGCACACGTACACAATCATGTACATATCAGTCTGCCTCTCGCTGTCTGTGCTGTATAACATAGCAGAATATCAATACCATCTGTCTCTTGGTTTTTTACCTAATGGTGAATAAGACTCCAATTATTGATTAGCTAAACAGACGGAACAAGAAAAAGATTTCTCTTAAAATATTTTAAACTTGTTCAACAATGATGCTGTACCACAAATGGATAAACACAGTTTTTAAGTTCATACAATTTTTTTTTTACAAAAGGGGGAAACGGTGTTGCAAGTGTGTTGATACGTATGTAACCAAAACACAAATGTTAAAAAGCATGTCAGTTGAGGTGATATATTTTGTATGTTGCTGTGTGCGAGTGTGTGTGTTATGATTGTGTTTTCTACTTGAATGCAGGTGTTTACCTCTGTTTAGTTAAGTTGTTTACCTCCATGTTCTGCGGTGTGGTTACGTTGAAACAGAAAATACCACCCTTTACATTGCAATAAAAGTTTACGACATTTTTATGTTAAAAATAATTAAACAGTTATTTAGCTAAAATAAAAATGTTTTTGAAAATTGAAAAATTGTGACATTCTTTACAATTTATTGCGAATAAATGCTTCTTTTGAAAAATATTGTTTTATATCTTTTAAATAGATTATGCCATTTAAATAACATATTATTTTGATATAAATCTAGCCATCATGCATTCAGGTATCTATTCGTTAATACATCACATGAAATGCAACATGTTACAATTATTTTATTGATAAATTATCTTAAATTTTATAAAGAATAGAACAAATTAACCCAAGTCTATTTTAAAATAGAATAAAAATAACCGAATTAATTATGGCTGAATGGGGCGCACCGGGTTATACAACCGCCGAGTAGCTGGCTGCAGTTTACCACTGAATTAAGAAGTAACGCTTACCTGTTGCGCAAGACAACCAATAAACAGACCACATGTGCAAAGATAGCTGTTGGGAAACTCTGGGTGGCAAACTGCGCCGCTTTACTGCCGGAGTGCCACCCTCAGTAATAAAAATTTCACGGCAGAAACCTTCCCAAATGTCGGAGTTTCTTTCATGCACCCTTTCAGGAAAAATGTCTTGCAAAAACACTTCCTTTGGAATATTCTCAACGACAACGACTTCCCAAAATTTCTTGTCGATTGGATAAAAATCAAAAACGTAGTGTTGGTAGTGCCATATTAATTAATGATTAATCGGATCAACAAATGAAATGTCATTAATGATTAAGGTAAAGAAAAACATTGACACATGTTGGACTCAGCCGGTTGTGTGAACACTGTCCATTGTTTTGTTTTTTTAAAATATCTCATTGGTTATGATGGATATTTAGTAAGATGTAATTTCGCGGAGGGCAGACAGTTGGGAGAGAGTTGCAAGTCTGTGGGTTAGGGTATGGAATTTCCCAGTGAGTTGCAGTTTGTAGCAATGCATGTAGATTTACGGGTGCTGGATGCCAATGTTACAAAATAGTCGAAGTTCAAGTTTATTTAT